GGGTCGTATATGGTCGTTAGGAGGGGGATCGTGTTCGCCTCTGAGGAAGCTGCTTCTCGCTCTTGACCTGTCTCAATTTTTCGACACGCCCTGTCTCTGATAGTAGATCAGGAACTTCCCATCCCTTCCCCCGCTGGAAAACAGCTTAATGGGGAAAATGAGTAGAATATGGAATGAAAACCTGGAAAAGTGGCCGGAAGCTGGGAAAACTTAGAACTTGGAGGTCAGATGGGAGTCGTACCAGAAGAAGAAACTTGGGAGGGATCGTATTTTGCAAAAATCTTCTCTACCGGCACCTGCCCTATTCAGAAATGGTAGTTTCGATGCGTCGCCAGTGAGGGATGGGGAAGGGGGAGGAGGGCGCGGGGAAGCAGCAAATAGAGAAATTTTCTCGTGGCAAAATACAACCACCTTCCCAGCTCTCAAAAATGGCCCCCGTTGAGTTTTACACAATGGCTGTGCGCTGATTAAATTTGACGGAACGTATTACATTGATGAGATCATCTTTTTCGGTTTCTCACATTTCTTATTCGTCGTCCCCTCCCACAAGGGACTACGTAGATTGATCCAATAGGAGCAACCCTTTGCGATCATATCCATTTTTGAGGGCTCCTTCTGTAGACAGTGTGGCGCGCCGACCACTTTTCCACCAGGTTATGCCGCTGGCCGCCCTTCAACAACTGGTGGGAAACGGGCTAGCGCCGCGCCAGACGCGCCCACTGTGACATGTTGCAGTATCCGAACAAAGCTGTAGAACATCTATTCATGCAAAGATCAAAACCCCTACCGTATTCTTTGAGTGCCGTCCATGAGGCGAAGGAGTACTGTACTGATTAGTGTAAGCCCCACGCGACAACGCCGCCACTACCGGCGCTGTTGCACTTCCTGGAGGATAACGCAGGCGTAAAGCTAATGAGTTTTCTAGCCGTAGCGTATATGTAGTCGAGACCAACTCCGGTAGGAAATCCTCGAACGGCATCAAGAAAGCTGCAAATGGTCTCAGGACAATCAAATACAAATTTCAGCTCAACATAATTGTGGAAGAGCTTGAACAGTTAATACTATCAGCACTGTTTGAGTTACTGACTGTAATATATTCAACAAAATAATATGTCCTTACATATGTTAAAGTGACTCCCAACAATAGAAGCTTCCACATTTTCCGGATTCTTTTCGGACGGATCCACCCAATTCGACTCGTTCAGCAGCAGAATAGCCTAAACATGCAGTGCAAGCCAATGAAAACAGCTTTTACCAACCTTTCGTCACCGTATTGGGTCACTGGAGCAAGAGAGGGTCATATTCCCGCCGAACAGAACTTTTTGAGAAATTAAAAGAGAAAAGAAATTTTCCGCAAAATTGCTGGAAGATCGGGGAATTTAGGAAGACTGCACGCAGGGCGGAGCATGCGGAACAAGGATCGGGTCGTATCAGAGGAATAAACTTTGAGTGGAATCGTACCAGAAGAGGAAGTTTTGAGGGGTGGGAGTCGTATTTCGTAACTATTTTTCCCAGATTCCAGGAGGTACCCTGACTATCAGCCTCAGACATGACCATCTTGGAGAAAAGATTCGGGATTCGGGACAGGATTCTCACCTCAAAACTATCCGAAACATCAAAGTCGATATTGACTGTATATGGTATAAACGTAACAAGATCAGCTGAAGTGTCGCCCAAGAACTCGTTTATTAGGTCCTGAACAATTGAGCTTGCAACGAAAAAAGTAATTATT